GACTGGGTGGGATTTGGATAGGCAGAGAAAAGGTAAAAAAAGGGTATTCTTGGTATAAGAAAGAGCATCCCCCAAGTGAAAGTTTGGGGAGGAGAACAATTCTGATGAGTATTTTAGTCCTTTAGTATTCTACTCTTGCAACTGCTATAGATTTCCTAAACATTTGAGGGAGTGAGCTGTGAAGATATTTGATGGGAGAGAGTGTTCCAGAAGAGTCCTGTGAAGGAAACTTGTTTGGAGTTTCAGAAGTACAAAACAGAGGCCAGTGGCTGGAGCAGATTGAGCAATGGGGAGAGGGAAGGAGATGAGGTCTGAGAGTAACAAAGGCCCAAATCACTTAGAGCCTTGTGGGCCATTGTAAAAGACTTCTGCTTTTTCTCTAAGTGTCATGGGAAGCCATTAGAGGATTTTGAGCAGAGGAGTAACTAGCTCTGTCTTGGATTTTAAAAAGGTCACTCTGGCTACTGACAGAATAGACTCTGGGGGACAAAGGTGGTAGTGGGGAGGCCAGTTAGGAGGCTGTTGCAGTAATGCAGCTGAAAGATGATGGTGACTTGGACCAAGGAAGTGGAAGTATATTTGAGACAAGTGGTCAAAGTCCATGTATTTTGAAGGCAGAGGCAAGATGGTCAGTTACAGGATTGGATGTACAGTGTGGGAAAGAGAGGAGTCAATGATGACTTTAAGGTTTTGGCCTGAAGGGATAGAGTTGCCATTTTTTGAAATGGGGATGACTCTGGGGAGGAGGTTGGGGGACAGGCAGTCAAGAGTTTAGTTTCGGACTTGCTGAGCTTGAGGAGCCAATTTGACAGGTGTTGAACGGGCAGTTTGATATATGAGTTTGGAAATCAGGGGAAAGGTCTGGGCTAGGTACATATTCGGGAGTCACCAGTACAGATCCTTTTATATAGCTATGAGACTACATGAAATTTCCTAATGGGAAGAGTTCCAAGAACCGAGCCTTGGGGCAGTTCAACATTTTGAGGTCTCGAGAGATGAGAAAGAACTAGCGAAGGAAACCCAGAAGAGTGGCTAGAGAGATTAGGAAAAAAATTGAGGGTGAGTGGTGTCCTGGGAGTCAAGAGAAGAAAGGATTTCAAGAAGGAAGAATGGTCAGCTGGGTGAAATAATACTGTTTGAACAGAGAAATGAGGGCTGAGACTTTACTGTTGAGTTTAGCAACAGGGGGGTCACTGGTGATCTTAACAAAATTGAAGGAGGCAAAAGCCCTAATGGAGTGGGTGCAGTAGAGAATGAGGGGAGAGGAACTAGGGACAGTGACTTTGGTTAACTGTTTCAGGGAGTTTTGCTATAAATGGGAGTGTAGATATGGGACAATAACTAGAGAAGTATATGGAGTCACGGGAGGCTTTTTTTTTAGACGAAGGAAACAAAATGATCCAGTAATGAGGGAAAAATTGATGCTTCTTGAGAGTGAGGGGAGAAGTGCTAGAGTGATGCCCATGAGAGGGTAAGGTTAAGAGGGATGGGGGCAAGAGGGATGATCATGATACTGAGGCCTAAAGGACTAAATCTCATTTAGCAGGATTCTGCTTTTTCTTCTCAGCATTTTTTGCCTTTAAATTTATTTCAAACTTACTATATTCTGTTAGAATTAGGAAAGGCAGATAAAAAGCAGTAAAATTTACTGTATATAAAATTAGTGTATCAATTTTGGTGTAGTAGAAGAGATTGAATCTTCTGCGTACGGTGACATTTTAAAGTGTCTTTGAATGACAATTATCTGTGCTATTCTAGTCCCTTATCAAAATTTATGATTGAGCACAGATTATAAACTTAATTGTTCAAAATTTGTAATGGGGTGGATTTTAGCCTAATTTAAAACATGATCTAGTGTTGAACTTTTTCTCTGCAAAATTTGTTTCTTGTTTAATGCATAGTCTTTATACACAAAGGTTTTAGATGTTTTACAGAAGGTACTTACAAAGTAGTTATTAATCACTTTTGATTTATTGATGATATTTTAAATTTTACAACCACATCAGAAATTTGAATGATTCATTTCTTTACCAGCTCTGATTAAAGCAGCTGCTTGTGAAGTTCTGGAGAGGAGGTGAATGATCCTCAGTTTGCAAAAAATCACATGAAGTTATGTTAGCAAGATGGTGTTCCTCTGTAAAAGCAAAAATAATTTCATTTACTCCAATTTATGTGTTTTGAATGTATTTTTCAAGAACAAGTCTGTATTTTAAAAATTTAGTAAGCAAATAAGGCAAAAAATTTGAACTACCTTAGCTACAAGTGTGAAATATGAGAAACAAGTTAAGTGGACTTTGAATCAGCTTCACATGAGGAAATCAAACTTGTATTTCAGTCTTATATGTTTTGCATATGGATAGTGTAAAAAGTACAAATTTATATGTAAATCTTTTTTTGCTGCTAACTCATTTTTATTAAATTACAGAAGTTAAATATTTTCTTCCTTTTTTTTTTTTTTACATCAGTATCCCAACGGTAGTCAATAATCAGTCTTTCGAAGGAACACTTTGGTAGTTCTGATGCACAGTGTTTAAGAATCACCAGTCCAAAAATAATTTACTCTTTTTTGGGTATCTGAACCTCTGCGAATCTTATTTAAGTTGTGGATCCTCTTCCCAGAATTCTCATTACATTCAAAATTTAGCATATAGTATCATGGAGTTGGCAAACCCCTCTGAAGCCTATTCATGGGGATCCCTTAGGCATAAAGGATCTCAGGTTTTAAAACCTGCCCTAGGTAGTTTACTTATGTGATTTTTCTTTAAAACTTTATACGAAGATTTTCCCAAAAATATTTGGTCAGCATTTATTGTAGTTTATTTCTTAGGAGAGTAACTGCTACAGCTGTTTAAGACGAAGTGAGGTCTAGTGGAAAGGCCAGTTCAGTCAAAGGAATCTCAGGATCTGTAGATTTCTTTCCAGCTTTACTACCAGCTAGCTGTGTAACCTTCCGGGAAGTCAGTTAACCTCTCAGGCTTTGATTTCCAACGTGATTTCTGCAGTCCCTGCAAGCAGTTTTATGAGTAGTTTCATGATATCATGGTAAAATTCCTTGTCAATTAGGGATTGACTCTGCTGTTTATTTTTGGAGAAAATGCCCCAGAGATAAGTTGTATCCATTGTCCCTTTTTACTGAATATGATTTTCAGAAGAGTTTATTTGACTGTACTTTCTCAAATGCCATATGAGTAAAAGTTAAAATCCTAACCCCACCCTGATCATTTTGAGTTTCAACATATTTTATATATTCTGGGTATAAGCCATTGTTATTACATGTATTACAGTTATAATCTCCAGTTCTGTGGATTGCTTTTTCATTCTCGTAAGGGTTTTTTTGGGTGAACAGAAGTTCTTAATTTTAATTTGATCCGATTTATCTGTCTTTTCATTATATTTTAAAATGACAGTATTTTACTTCCTAATCAACTGTTTTTATCCAAAGTCATTCATTTAACAAATAATGCTGTGGGAGATCGATGCATAATTATCCCCAGCATGAAGGAGCTAATAAGAAATGCCTAATAGGGAAAATAAGCCTGCAACAGAGAGCTAAGAGTCCACTCAGTGAATTCATTCATTTAACAAATATTTACTGAGCATTTACTTCATGTTTTTGTTTGTTTGTTTGTTTCGGCTGCACCGTGCGGCCTGTGGGATCTTAGTTCCCCGACCAGGGATTGAACCTGTGCCCCCTGCAGTGGAAGCATGGAGTCCTAACCATTAGACCACCAGGGAATTCCCAAGAACCCACTTGTTAATAACCACATCATTCTACAGATTTTTGCATCATTTTTCTTTTGGTTGGGAGTCATTCTAATTTTGGTGATTAAAATTGCCATTTATATGGACTTTAGAACTTTAAAAAGTGCTGCTGCTAAAAGAAAGGCAGGCTAAAACAGCAAATTGAATTTCTTTTGGAAATGAATGTTAACTGCATGAATCGGGGCCCTTTAAAATTATTTTACTGTGTGTTTGGTATGACTGTACATGATTAAATAAAAATTTATAATTTGGATGACATGAAGATTTTTTGAAATATCCCTTAAGGAAATGAGAATTTACATTATACCTATTGGAGTAACATAAGTCAACAAATGTACTGTGTTTAAAGCATAAGGATGATTCAGGTTTGGAACATGGTATGTGGAGTTTAAATAACTTAATACTTTAATACTAAGGGAAAAGTTTTAATATTTGCTTCCTAATTTTTTTTTTTTTAACTAAAAAAGAAGTTTGGGGCAAGGAAGAGTTAAAAATAAATAAACAATATAGCCTGACATGACCTTGAAATTAACTTAATGCAGTATAGTTAATCTTAAAAAAAACAACAACACACAGTTGATAAAAGCATCACTGAGCATTGGATTGAGATCCCAAAACCTTGATTTTCTTTCTGGCTCAATCACTGATTAACTGTGTGGCATAGGGAAAGTCACTTTTGTGTTATGTGGTTTACAGTTTCAGGTGGTGAGACTTTAAGATTGTGAATGAAAAATTAAATTATGACTATACATATAAAATGCTGTGAATTTTAAGCCTTATATAAAAGAAATCCATTTCAAGATTAATTGAAAAAAAGGCCTTTTAAGTAGACCAAACTAAGGGCCAGTGATGTTAGCCTAATTTGTAACATAAAGCAGCAAACAGTGAAAGTTCATTTGTTGGGGATGAGGGTTGTATTTCTGTGTTACTTAAATGAGGTGCATTTCATTTCTGTGTCTCTTAGGAAAGGGAAGCCGTCAACTACTTAGTTTTTCTTGTCTTGAAAAAGCTGTGGAAAAGTGAAAAAAACTGGAAAATGAGAGATCTAACTGCCCTTGAATTCTTTCCTTGTTGTAAAAACTACCTATCTCTTTTTTTTTTTCTTTTGGTTTTAAAACTTTGGACATTTTTGTGTGTGTGTGGTTTTTTTTGTTGTTGCTGTTAAAAATCAGCTTTTGATGACATGTCATAAATCTGTGTTTGTAGTCTAATTCCATTTTCCCCTTCTTCTGTTGTAGGGAGCAAGAGAGCTGAAGGAGAGCCAGTTTCCTCAAAATTGGTAAGTGCTTTCTTCAGGCAGCCATAGTGTGCCTGATGCTAGTTGGATAATAATTCAAATGTTCAGTGACATTTTTTTTTTTTTTTTTTGCAAAAAAAGCTCTCTCCCAGAAATGAGAATGAGGCTTTGCTGTTTGTACTGAGTGAAAGTAAATTTTTGTCTAATTTCACGTAGCCAAATCTCAAATGCATTTGTGTTCCTAATAATACTGCTAGGCACGCATGTTCCTGCATTCAGTAACCTCTTAAAATGTAACGGTCCCCTTTGCGAAAAATGTCCTTAATGCAGTGGTTAGGGCTAAAAATTAAAAAATCAAGAAATTCAAACGTTAAGGTTCCCATTGTGTTTTGTATTACTTAATATGCGTTAAATTTGATGGCCTTAGTATATGTGCAAAATGGCTAGGTTAATGTAACTATGGGAACCTTGACTTTGAAATTTGGGACTCTTAAGCATGTATATTATTAAATTTAATGTTGAGTTGGCTTCATGTCTGATATTGCATTTTCAGTGTGTGTTGTTTTGTATAATTCTTGAAGAGGAAAAAAAAGAGAGAAATGTAGCAGTGTGGGGCATAGAGGCAAACACATTTTTTTCCTAGTATCAACTTTAATGTCTACTTTAACAGCTTATAAATCATCACACTTAAATCATTTCTTTGAATGTCTAATTCAGATTACACAGGGCAGTCCAGTGTCTAAAGACCAAACAAATATTAATCTTATTAGGAGAGCATGTATTATGATTAAAAAATTAAATTCAAACAAGATAACTGGAATAGGGTAGTCCCCTAATGCAAGACTACTCTTTTTTTTTTTGTTTTAATTCTCTCTCATAGTAATTAATTTAGTGGGTGGAGTAGATATTTGGTTAAAGCTTCTTTTCATAATTATGGTCCTTGAGGTATCTCTTAGCCTTTTGGGGATTGGGCTTTGAACGTGAAAGGGAGGCATTTGAACCAGTTAATCTTACATTTTACTACCATTTTATTCTACTTGCCTTTCTCTCATGGAACCACTTAAAATAAATAATCAAGACCCTACAGCCCTTTACTCTGAGATGCGATGGAATCGTAGATTCTTAAAGAAGAAGGGACGTTAAGGGCCTTCTCTTTCAGCCTTTTACCAGGTGTGGCAATTTCTCCTCTTATGTCCCTGGCATATTGTTATTTGGTTACATACTGAACACTACATTAAAAAAAACTGTAGCTCATATTTTCTGTAATGTATTCCGAGGAACTCTAGTTCCACAGAAATTAATCAATATTATTGGGGTGGGGCGGGGGTGGGGAAAATGTTCTGTGGTCAAATAATTTGGAAAATGCTGCTTTAAACAAAGTTAAACAGGTTTCTTTACTGCAGGACTTCTCAGAACCTTTAATATGCTAATGTGCATTGTGAATCTCCAAGAGGGGGATATGATATGCAGCATTCTTGAATACTTCTATTGACAGGGAGCCCACTACCTCATAAGGTAACCCATTCCTTTTTTGTACAGCTCTAATCCTTAGCTCTTCCTTACACTGATCTGAAATCTCTCTCCCATAACTTCCACTTGTCTTAAGTACTTACTGGTTATACTAAGACCACCACACCCTCTTATGTTATCCTTTGTGTAGTCATTATATATATGATTCTGGCCAGGCTTGTCTGGACTATTTTTTATCATTAAATAGCATTCTGGTAAATGTGGCAACCATTTCTAAAATCTCAACCTCATTGTCACTATGCTTCTATACTACCCTTCAGGCTCCTTCATTTTGAATTTCTGTGAGTTTTTAAATATACTTCATCTTTCTTGTTGTTGGGTATGGTTGGGAAGATTTTAGTACACATGCTTGATTTCTGTAAAGAAAGGCAAGAACTAGAAGAGCGTATGTGTGCCTACCAGGCCTGGGCCCAGGAAGCTGATGTAGAACCTGTATGTTAGAGTGAACACTGATGGTAGGGAGAGGGGCAGGACACTGCAGCAGACCTGTGTAGGAGAGGGTGCTGTGGGGAAACCCTGACCCGACTGAAAATACCACACCCTTGTGTTGGAATGGTATGACTTGTGTAGGTGTTCCTTTTCTTTAGTGAGGACCTGGCCCCCTTGCCCCCAAAAAAGCCAGAGAAAAGAAAGATACGTATTTTATACCCAAAGACATCCATACATTCAGATACCATAAACCTAATTGTGTGTGTGTGTGTGTGTGTGTGTGTGTGTGTGCATATAAATTTATTTTAGTGGTTAGGAAACATCAGTCTTACCAGCTGAGGTGACTTTTGTCAACACCTGTAGTAACAGGATTTGAGCATAGTAACCTTGCCAGATTCAGAGGGTGACCTCTAAAATCAAGCTCTTTGTGCAGCAGTGTTTTCTGTTGATCTGTAGAGTGTCACCAAAGAAATACCACCGTGAAAATAAGAAAAACGTTACATTGTTTTTTAATGTCATTTTATTGATTCAAGTTAGTAAATGTTAGTTTTCAATAAGAGCTATTAAAATATTGTTTTTATTTTTGGCGTTTGTGATCATTTTTAGCACTAGTTAAAAGTTAAAGATACATTTTATCTCCTAGCACATTAGATACATAGTAAGCAATAAGTATTTAGTACAAACTGAAACCTGATGTTTTAGTATTAGGCATCTGTCAAGTAAGGATACATAGATCTGTCAAGGCTTTCTACTTTTTCATATTTTAAAAACTTAATTAAACCTACTCTAAACACAATTTTGAGAGTATAGATCAAAAGTGGGGTCTTACACCAAGTAGATATATGGTATAGAGAACACTGAGTTGTTCATTTTTAAGGAATTCAGTCTGGGGGTACAATGTATTACAGACTTATTGTTAGTTAAAGAAACTTGGTTGGGGACTTCCCTGGTGGTCCAGTGGTAAAGAATCCGCCTTCCAGTGCAGGGGACGAAGGTTGGATCCCTGGTTGGGAAACTAAAGATCCCATATGCCGCGGGGCAACTAAGCCCGTGCGCCACAACTACCGAGCTTGCGTGCCTCAATGAGAGAGCCTGCATGCCGAAAACTACAGCGCCCACGTGCTCTGGAGCCTGCGCACCACAACTAGAGAGAAGCCCACGTGTCGCAGTGAAAGATCCCACGTGACTCAACGAAAATCTGCATTCTGCAACTAAGACCAGACGCAGAGAAAGAGAGAGAGAGAGGGAGGGAGGGAGGGAAGGCGGGAGGAAGGAAGGAAGAATTAAAAAAAAAGAAACTTGGTTGGTGAGTTGTTTTGATTGGAAAAAGCTTTATATCAATTCAGGAACAGAGCAGTGATTTTGGATAATAAACTCAGAATTAGAGCATTACTACATTATTAGAATCATAATGAAAGACCTAGAGGTCACATATCTCCAAGCAGAACTGTAACCAGATAAAATAGTTAGAAGCCCCTTTCTTAGAGAATTTGAAAATAAGAAAGCCTACAGCCTTTCCAGCAACATGCTGTGTTGAGAAGTTGATATAAAAGTTTGTGTATGAATAAGAGTTAAGTATGTTAAGAATAGCATAGAATTTTACAGTTTACAAAGGGCTTTTCATATAACGTCACCTAATTTAAACCTCATAGCAATTTTATGAAATAGGTGATACCGTTTCCATTTTCCTGATTTATAAGCAAACAAACCTAAAGTTGAGAGTGGTTGCACAGTGAGTGGAATCAGGGTTTTTTTTGGTTTTTTTTGAGACAGTGAATGTTCTTTCTAGACATTACATCTGCCTTATTTTAGTGGGATTTGATTATTTTGTTAGGTTTGTGGAGTTTTTATTTATGTTTTGGGGGTTTTGTTATTTGAAGCTGGGAGGTTATTAGGTGTCCCAGTCGTTTGCCATGTGCAGTTTTCAATGTAACGAACGTTGGTATTTTGTGTTCGGCGCTTGTCTTCTCTGGTGATAGTATTTAGAGCTGATGGGTGGTGAAGGGCATTGGACCTCAATAAACTGTTTTAGGAGAGTCTGTTCACATTTATGTTGCAGCGGCTGCTATTTATAACTTACTAGAATTGGTCGAAATATGTTAAATCATCTTTTTATAAATTTAGCAAATAATACCTTCTTTATAATGCTATAAACTGCCTCCAAGTGGTCATCACGTGGTGGCTGCATGAGTTGCCTAAGCCCCCCCAAATATTTTTTAAAAGGATTAAAGGATTCAACATGTGCTTGCCTTGTTTTTGTAGGCTATGAATATATATGTATACAACTTGTTCCTTTAGGCAGAAACCAGTCTCTTAAAACTGCTATTCAGAAAGAGACTTTTATGAAGAAGAAAGATATCAAATGAATCTTCTAATCCTTCATAAGTTTTTTTATACTAAGTCACTACCTTTTTTAACCCTTCAGTTTTATCTTGAAATAAAATGAGTAATTGGCATTTAGTGTCCTTGCCAAATAAAATTTTGTGCCTTTGTGTGTCTCTAATAAGCAGACAACAATCTGATGAAGGAAGTAAAAGCTGTCACCTCCTCAATAACTTGAGTTGCAGGCTTCTTATCCTGTGAGGCACTCTTTGACATTTAGAGCCTCCCGGTTAAACCCTGGTTTTACTTATTCTTTACCTGAACATTTTGTTTCATCAGTATAAAATTTTCTGATGTTTTATCTAGCAATTCTAAGTTAATTTTTTGTTATTTAAAAATAAGTACATATTTTCCATGGAAAATGTTGATACTCTGAAAAGAAGAAAGTAAATAACCCTGAGTGCTACTGCTCAGAGATAACTAATAGCAAATTATGAAAGCGCCACCTGACCTAAACTCTAGACAGCTCAGAGTATTACTGTTCTTACAAATCTTTGTCAGTTTGATTGACAAAAATGTGTCTTCTTAAATTTACATTTCTATGACTCTCTTGAAGATAGATGTTTTTCATGTTGGTCATTCTTATTTCTTCTTCTGTGAGTTGCTTTTTCATAATTAAAAAAAATTAATTTGTAGTTAATTTGTAAGCACTGTGTAACTGTACAAATTATGTTAACCCTTTTTTGTGTATATTGTTAAGTTCTCCATGTTTTTAACCTGCTGTTTGTTTCCAGAGTTTATGAGTTGAGTTCAGCTTTGATATTATATGTTGCTACCAGTAAAATAAAATATGGCCTTTCTGTTGTTGAAAATACCCTTCAAGGTGATTCTTAATTTGACAAAAATTTATCAGGAATCATTTTTGGACACATTTTCTGATAGCCTTAAAACTAATTTAAGTACTGTTTTCAGGAAGAACTCTAATGCATACATAAGTCAGGAATTTGAGTAGGGAGATTACTTTAATATTTAAAATTACAGTGACTGTATAGTTTTAACATTTGCTTTAGTGTATAGAATAAACTTACATGACAACAGAAGCCTTGGTCTAAATCAGTAACTTAATGATTCTGATATTTATGTAGTTCCAAAGATTTTTTAAGGTAATAAATATCTGGAAAAGCCTGGGTTTGTTCATCAAAATCACACTTTCCAAATCATCTCCCCTAAACATACTACGTCCATGAAAATTTTTGATTGACAATATCATTGTACCATAATAATGTGGAGGCTTTTCTAGCCTCCACAAATATAAGTTTGAAGGAATTTTACACTTTTGAAATTTATTATTTTTTTAAAAAAAGGTTAGAGTATTTTGATATTACATAACATAGTATACAAGCCCTAGGGGAAAGATTGCCAATGATGTTTTAAGCCTAGTGAGATTAGACAAATATAATGAAGATTCATATTCACACGATTACAGCCTGAAGTTAATGATTTCACTATAACTCTGTTAAATCAGGTTTTAAAGAATTTTTAAGAAAACTTAGGACTTTATCCATAGATAAATAATTTTTAGAAAGTATAAAGATTATGAATCTCATTGAATTGGCATAAGGAGTAACAGTTCTTCTAACTTCCTGATTGTTCCCTTCCTCAGTTTGTAAGAATGCTGAAAAGCTGCTCTAACTACAAGTTTTATAGGTACAGGGAAGAAAGGAGAAAGAAGTAAAGTTTAAATTTATTCAAGTAAACTTTTGCTTCAGGGACAGTACCTAAAATCATGTCTAAGGCCACGTTCAAGAAAAAAGAAAAAAATGAAAAGAGAAATTAGCCATTGAGTTAATTTAAATTGCAGTAGTGATGAGCAGAGCAGAATAGGAAGGTTCACATTCGCAAATCTAGACTTTTGACATTGTCTCCACCTGCATTTATACGTGCAGCCAAAGAGATGCACCAGCAGGCTTGAAAAGAAGATGGTGTTCATTGTATAGCTGGAAAAGTCTGTTCTATTGCTAGACCCACATCATTTGTTGTGCACGATAGGTTTATTTTTTAACATCCCTGTCATAACTTTGTGGAAAGCAGAGTTCATTGCAATGTGTTTGTGATAAGTATTAATTTGTTAAATGTAAACCTTTAAATTATACCATAATTGCCCCTGTTTTGAGTTGCTTTATTTTTTAAATAGAGTGAGAGGCCATCCAAATTGTGAGAGTACTCGGGCCTTCTTTAACCTCTGAGAGATCCTGAACTCTCCAGTTCACTCTGTGTGATGGTTAAAAATGTATGATCATGTTGTTATGTGTCTCTTTCTAAGAACAGCATGTCCTGGATGGTTGTCCTCTCCCCCTCTAGACTCCCAACGCATCCAGGACAGAAGAGGTCTTGTTCAGCTCTGTATCCTCAGAAAGTAGTATCTAGCGTGGTGCTGAGCGCCTAGTAAGTGCTTAGCTGTTTTCATGACCAGATTAAACGCATTTTTTTTTCATTTCTTACTTATTTGAAGTGTTTTCTAGAGGAATGCTCAGAGAATAAAACCCAGAAATTTTTGGTGCCAATTCAGAAAAAAACTACTCATTTTGGAAAGAAATCTGTTTGGGGAAATTTTTTGCCCTGTGTTTAGTCGACGAAATATTTCGACTAATGTAATTTATTTTATCTAACGTATATTTCCTTTATACCCAACATAATGATCCAAAACATTTTATGATCTCTACAGCTGCAGTAAGAAGAGGAGTTTGTTATTTTAAACAGAGGCTGAAGAAACTATAGAATTAGCAGACATAAGGAAAAGTGGAGAAGGTAGAGGATGGAGTTGCAGACTCTACAGGAGGCTCTTAAAGTGGAAATTCAGGTTCACCAGGTATGTTTCATTCATGGCTTCTCCCACATCATGTTATTAGTAATGGCTAAATTAGTAAACAGGCTATCTCTGATTTTTAGTAGAGCTTTTAATCGTTTTTCAGTCACTTGTCCAAGAGTCATGTTATTTGCCTTTTATTACTACTCAACAAACTCATTGGTAATATTTTTGAGAACTTTAATAAAATATTCCTGACTTCTCTTCCAGACAAAAGAACTAAAAATATTCTTTTCCATATAACGAAGGTGTTAAAAAAAAACCTCTCTTTTTTATCTGTTTTTTGGTTCATCTGAGGGACTTTGTTCGTGTGACTTAACTTGCATATTTTATTTGTTTATTTTTCAAAATTTACTTTATTGAAGTATAGTTGATTTACAATGTTGTGTTAATTTCTGCTGTACATCAAAGTGATTGAGTTATGCATATATATATATACACATTCTTTTTCGTATTCTCTTTCATTATGGTTTATCATAGGATATTGAATATAGTTCCCTGTGTTAACTTGCATATTTTAAATAACAAGAGATATTTAAATTGACTACCATGTATACTGAAGTTTTTACTCATATGTGATTTGGGGACATACTCCTCCTCTCAAGAAATTTTGAGATGGCAAAGTTAATATTCTGCTTTTAGTTCATCCTCACAAGACGTGAACAAGTCAAAATAAGACTTTTCTTGGAAGACTCATGATCTAAATTGAACTAAATTACTAAAAATTAGAGTTCTTAAATATTACTTTTGTTTCATATTTTTAATTCAAGCATACCAATTTTATAAAAATTATAATTATGAAAAAATTTAATGTTTATTGTTTAAAAATCTAATTTAAATTTTAAAATTACATTTATTGACTCAAAAGGGATATAATATTCTTCCTAAAGTTATCACTCTCAATATTCACATTATTTTCCTGTATATTTAACTATTTTTTTAGCATAAAATTAATAGCTTTTATATTCATCCTTAATTATTATATAGCATTTTGTTTGTATGGTAATAAACATTTATTTATGTTTATCAGTGTTGGTTGATAGTCTTTTAACATATAAAGTATGTAAGATATTTCACTCCAGTTATATTTAGAATCCTTTCCTATTAAAAAAAGTTTAAGTAAAATAGTAGGGACTTCCTGGGTGGTCCAGTGGCTAAGACTCCACGTTTCCACTGCAGGGGGCACGGGTTTGATCCCTGGTCAGGGAACTAAGATCCCGCATGCTGCGCGGTGTGGCCAAAAAAAAAAAGTTTTAACAGTAAATCCAAGTGACATGCCTTGCTTGTAAATCTGATGCTGTTATTCTGATTGGATACATGATAACCTACATGATCACTGATCATGACAAGTTCAGGGATGCCAGAAATGACATCAAAGTAAGCACTGGCTATTAGGCTGAGGCCAAAGTCAGATTGTACATTTGACTAAATATTGGGGCAGAAGCCACCCCTTCATCATTTCCACTTAGGGAAACTAGGGCTGAAAATGAGCTTACTGTATAGAAGGTATGTCCTGAAACTACCTGGTGTTGCTGTGGTAGAAGTATACTTTTGTTCTTTATGGACCGAGATGATTTAAAAAGTAGTGACGTACACGTGGTTGTTATTGAATGAATGTTTACATAATAATGGCCTGTGATGGGCATCTCATCTTTTTTGGGAAATTGCCTTTTTGATTATTCTTATGCAGATTTTTTAAACTTTTGGAGTATTTTTACTCTACATGGAACAGAGAATAGTATAAAGCAGAGGTTAGCAGACTTTTTGCAAAGGGCCAGAGGGTAAAGTATTTTATACTATGGGCATCATTTATGGTCTCTGTCACAACAACTCTGCTCTGCTGCTGTACACACAGGGCAGCCACAGACAATGTATAAATGGATGGGTGTGACTGTGTCCCAGTAAAACTTTATTCACAAAGGCAGGGTGCCTGTGGGCTGTAGTTTGTCAGCCCTTGGCTTAAACTATATTCTCATGAAAAATTGCTGCGTTCTTACAATAGAAAGTAACTTCACTTTGATAACACACAACGTCACTTAAAGTCACTAGGGATTTGGATGGTCTAGTTAAGTTGCCCAGCTTGTTCTGTCCTGCCTCTAATGGTCTGAAATGCAGCTTGCTTGATTACAGGTAGAAAAGTTGGCTTATTTATTTCCTCCAGAGGCAGAGACTTACTTTGGTTATCAGTTTTTAAATTTCAGTGTCGTGGAGGAAAACCTTTTTCAGCTTTAAAAAGGCAACTTTAGTATAGTACTCCACTCCCTGGTGGCAAAAGCAGAAAGGAAAATGAAGGACTTTTTTCATTGAAGAATGTGGCTAGCCTTTTAGGCTGCATTAGTAAAAATGTATATGTATAAAACCTTATGTTTCTATTTCCTTGAGTTCTTGGAATGTGTGTTATTACTATTTTGTAGATTAAGACCAGGATATAGAAGAGTTACCACTGTCATATATGAAGTAGATTATAGTAACATATACCTTGTGTATTTGGAGGTCACATGGCTGGCAATCTCAGCTATCCAAAATGTATACCTTAGCACCTGAAGTAAGGTTTTTGACAAGCTAGAATAAATGTTAGAAGTCACACAAGATTATACATTTTACTCAAGGGGGATTTCTTAGGCTATTCACTCATCTTAGAATTACTTCACTGAGTGTATCACAAAGCAGCTCAGAAGTAGCAAATTGGAATTGGGGTTCAGGGGCTCTTAGAGGGAGGCATAGTAATAGTAGCAAGATTTGCTAGCTGACTGCTTGGCATTAAGGAGTAGACTGAAAAACTCAAATGCAGGCACAAGAACTCTTTAGGACACAGCAGTTTGGGGCCTTTATCGTAAGGACCTTTTTGTATTGTTTGCAGAATAGTATATTGAGGTAATCATGCCTCTAAGTGTCATTAAATGCTGCTTTTTTTCTATTTAATAAGGCAGATAAGTATATAATATATTTTAGAAAGGTTTTATTTTACGACTAAAAACTATTATTTATTTATTTATGACTGTGCTGGGTCTTCGTTGTGGCGTGTGGGTTCTTCATCGCGGCATGCGGGCTTCTCTAGTTGTGGCGTGTGGGCTCCAGAGTGCGCGGGTTCAATAGTGCGGTGTGCAGGCTTAGTTGCCCTGCAGCTTGTGGGATCTTAGTTCCCCGACCAGGGATTGAACCCATGTCCCCTGCATTGGAAGGCGGATTCTTAACCACTGGACTACCAGGGAAGTCCCTATGACTAAAAACTTTAAAAGTGTCTTGTCACCCAAAGAGAGGGACAGATTTTTCAGCTATGTGAAAAATTCACTTGGAGAACAGCTTATTCCTAGATACTTTTAGGACTCAGCCTTCTGACATTCCTTTATGCTTCAAATTCTTCCGTCCCTGGTTATTGTTACCTTTGGGCAGTGATGCTTTTGGAAGTTGGGTTAGGTCAGTTGACATCCATTTTTCTTTGTTTTTCATTTTTTGGACTTATGTGTTCCCTAGTAAAGGTCTTTCTCATTCAGTATTCTGGTAATACTCTCCTTCCCACAGGAACCCAGGTAGGTAAAATTTTGCATTACTTTTCCTTCGCTTCCTTACTCTCAAATACTGAGCATCACTGCCCCACTGAGTACGTCCCCCCTCCCCCCACAGAGAGGACAGTGGCAGAGTCACATCTGACACTAGGCTCCTTCTGTGAACCAAACCCACAGACTCGCCAAATCTGTTTGCTGTATACAAACAGGCCTGTTTTTGTTTGGGAGCACCTTCTTTCCAGGACTTACTTGGGACTCTAGACAATGACAACCTTTTAAAGGGATGTTTGGCTTTTGGAGCATTCAGCTTATTTAAATTGTCTTTTAAAAGCTCCCCTCCCCCAGCCCATCTCCAGATTTGTTTAAAGGCGGGAGGCTCTTAGTTTCAAATATAAAGCGATAGTTTGAATTTTTTTTTTTATTATTAAGAGGAGTGTTTCATTAACTTTTTATATGGATCACAGAAGCTTTTGGTCTGTTCTGATTGTGGTATTGCTTATTTTTTTGTGTGGGCTTAAAACTCTAGATTTTGGGGGCTGAGCCTGATTAGCCATAGTGAGTTTATATGTAAGACTGATGGCTCTTTTTCTCTTTTTATTATCAGAAACTGGTTGCTCAAATGAAGCAGGATCCACAGGTAAAATACTACTTTTATTCATTTAATTTTTAAATAAAAATAATTTAAAATAAAGTGACCATAAGATATTAAAATACAGGCAATACTTAGGTTTTAGAAATTATCTCATCTGTAACAGCAATTTTTTTTAGTACATTGGTCTTCATGTTATAAGAATTAAGAAAGCTCCAGTCATTCTATTATAATATAGCTATTATTTCATCTTTGTTAGTGTTATTTTGCTTGTATTTTATGTTAATTGCTTTGAATATTTTGGGAAAAAGAATTGCGAGTTAATACTCTTCATATAGCTTAAATTTCATTTCCACAAGCCCACTTACTCAAAATCAGAGTTTGCAAGGCTTTCTGTAATCTCAGAATTATTGAATATGGCCCAGAACCATTTTTATTTTCTCATAGTTTATAGCATAGAACATTTAAGTACTTAATCTCACCATGTTCAGAATAGAATTTTAGAATACTTTTTTAAAAGCATTTTTAAAAATTTCATTTTTGAAAGAGCCCTTAGAGAGGGTTTTAAAGAACCTTATATAGTAATTCATCAGGTGTTACCTTTTCTTTAAAGTCTCATAGGGGTTTTTGGCTCAGGCATTTTATTTTCTATCCCTGAAGAGAAATCTTCCTAAAAATTTATCTTGTCTTTAATTAGTATATTTATTGTTCAGGCAGTGTCTCTTTTGCAGCAATTAGACAGTGGGTCATAAGTATGGAGAGTATTTATTTAGACATTCTCAGGATTTCTCCCTTGCATTTGTTTACTCATAATCTGTTCACAGAACACCTACCTAGACCCATTGATGGTGGGGTGTGTGTGTGTGTATATGTATATTTGTATATGTACACACACATTTTTTTTTTTAGCTTGTTAAACATACCATACATGCCTCATTGTAAAGTTAAGTAAGCTTCTTGGATTAAAGAATGGTACTGAGGCAGATTGATTTTTGGAAGTGGGAAATAATATTCATTTCTACAAAGTTAGCTCCCAGTGGCTTAACTATTGTGTTTTTAACACAAACCATTGATTCTGAGAGCTGGCAGTGATATCCACTTAACTCCTGTTTGACAGTCCAACTTCTTTGAGAAGCTTCTCCATTTAAATTTTTTTAAATATATATTATAATTTAAATTAGGTTTAGGGAACCAAGAGTCAGTAGACCTTAGATGAATAGATTCTTTTATATTTAATATGGTAACCTATGTTATCAGCAACTGAAATATTGTTAGAAAACTTCAGCATTTCTGATATAGCTGGCAGTCATGCAACAGAGCAGTCTTAATGTGAAGAATCTGAGGAGGCAGTAAGTTGCTGGACAGTCTTGTGGGTGATCTCATTAGAGAGGTCTTATATCACATGCTGTCACAAAAAAGACCACATGGAGTAAACGTGAAGGGGAGGATGTATGCCCGGACCCTGTCAGAAGACCAGGCAGGATGAATTGAAAGAATTGCATGTGAAAGGGCGAAGGAAAAGTAGTCTCTCATTGGGGTGGTATTCAATCTGCTAGCGATCCTGTTACATTAAGCTTTTGAAAACCTTAATTTTGGATTTTTCTCTCATGTGAGTAAAAGACAAGCACGCTCAGTGTATCTCATTTAAAATAGTATTCTTTTCTGATTCCTAACATTTTAGAGCTGAGAAGTTGCCCTGGTAGTCAGTATGTTAATTTGAATGATGTAGTGTTTAAGGCAGTTGCAGCACTGACAGCTTTTCAAATCTAGGCTAAAATAACAAATGTACTCTACTAAATAAGGGAGAGGGCAAGCAGAGAAAAACCTTTTTTTTTTTTTTTTGACTGATAATGCCGTTAAGCATGCAGTGTGTTCATACTTACAACTGATTAGTGGAGCTTTAGGTTTTCTGTCAACTGTTACTTCTTATGAAGAATAACTATTTTAGTAGAAAGGAGTAGTATTACAGTACAAAACGCTGAAATATAAAACTTCTTGCAATTGCAAAGGAGCTTACCCCTGTTCTAGTGTTAGCAACCTACATTTAGGATCTATGCACTGGGTGGTGGTAATATGACTACAGTTTAATGCATGACAAATATGATTGGCTAAATGCTTAAGATTGCTTCATCATTTGTAATACAGTTTGCATAAAGTCATCTTGCTACTCTTCTGTTAACAAATGAAATATCTTCCTCACAGATATTTTTTCTTTCCAATCAGAATGCTGATTTAAAGAAACAGCTTCATGAACTTCAAGCCAAAATCACAGCTTTGAGTGAGAAACAGGTAGGGGAAAAAGGAGGGGGGGCATATTTTTAACATTGTGTTCTAAAGATATGTCTGCTCGAGGCTTCTAGGAGAACTGCTATTTTTCCTCATGTGTGAAAATAAGTGTGGGCAGCCAGACTCAGTTTTAATTTTGTTTGAGATCTGTTTATCTATTTTTATTTTTGGTTGAAATCAGTCTCTAGCGTACCCCATGGGTATATGTTACTGGCAAATATCTAAAAGCAGGGTGGCAGGCTGCTGTTAACTGTGTTAATTAAACTCTGTAGTTTACCCATAGAGGATAGGGGCAGAGAAAGTTAGTGGGAGTATGTGATAGAGAATCTTAGAGTTGCTGGATGTGCCTTGTTACCTGTTTTAAAGGCTTGAGATGACATTGAACTTAACGTGGAGTGGTTGTAAGTAGATTGCTCTAAGTGTAGATCTCCCATTCTGATTATTGTCATTCCTTTATGTTAATCTTTGTCAGATATTGACCTACTATTATGTGAAAAAACTTTGGTGGAGCCTTGTTAGATATATTCTATATAGGACAAAAAAAGAACATCTTGCTTTTTTTCCCAGGGACATCTGGAAAGTGTTCTTTGGAATTTCTTGTATAATGACCTCCACTTCGCCAATTCAGGCAGCTCCTGCCACCAGGTGGAGTGTGACAATTGATAGAGCTATAAGTAAACGTCTGTGGTAATCTGACAAAGCATTTGTTTTCTTGTTCCTTCCCTACCACTCTCCCTCTGGTTAAAAGGGGTGGTTTTGGAGTAGATTAATGTGTGAACCAAAATGATGAGGTGATTTGCAATTGATAGTTCATACTAGTGATATCTTATTGAAGATTTTTAGCTATATAGTTCTCAGTTATTGATTTTTGTGTTTTTCTAAAAACTTTTATTTAGTGAAATAATAGCAATGAGAGTAATTTATTCCTGGAGATTCCTGATTGTGTTTATATTATGTATTGTATTGTGTTTTCATTTAACTAAGGGGAGAAATAAATTTTGAGAACTATGTGGAATAGATACGAATCATAAATGTTTCAGAATAGAATCTTTTTCCAAGCTTAGTGAACAATTGCTTTCTTCTCCCCTCTCCTATTCTAATGCTTCTGCATTCCCCCATCTTGTCTTCTTCAGAAATAAGAGGTATTTTAGATTATGGAATTGCCAAACTAAAATTGGGAGGAGGTAACATGGTGGAGAACAATTTGTAAGGAAAAATATAAACAGAGTTTGTTAGACGTATTTGGCTCTGAAAGTGATTCATTTCTCTAAAGTCAAAATGATGTGTGTTAGTGAAAATGTTCTAGCTTTAAAATTCTGTTAGCACTGAGCCTCCTTAAAATTTCAGGGTTAGTTTGACAAGATGCCAATGAATGAGTCACTTTTGCTGAAAAATTCACGTGTTCTAGCGGGGAAAGAAGGGGAGAACTGATTAGTGGAGTAGGGGATAGGGGATGCTGTCACAAAGTTAAGACAACCTAAGGCTACATTTGGGGAAAATGGGGCAATTGTAAAAAAGGTACATTTATTTGAAATTTTTATGAGAACTGATGTAAAGATTTGGTTTATTTCTGTAACTTTTTATTCTTTAATTTTTTTCCTGCTAGGTACCTCACTTAGTAGAACATTGCAACCATTTATGTTTAGTAAGACGTTTCATCAAGTGGCAAACTCTGTCATCTGAACTAAATTTGGATTTTAGAACCTAGAATTTTAAAAAATGCGTGTAGCATCAGGAAAATCTTAGGTATACAAAGTAAAGAAAGCTAGTGTCAGAAACTAAAATGCAGTCTTGGCAGTTTTTAAAGTATTTGCTTAACTGTTGAAACAACCTTTTTGATAGAACAGAATATGTATCATTTTTAGGTAGGATAGTACTTGAAGGAAGCACAGCTATAAAATTCAAAAGCTGGTCCTTCCTCAGACCTATTTCCAACATGAAACACTGATAATTTTGTTTAAAATGGTTTTATTTTAGAACAAACTCCCAATGCTGTATGCCCAGCTTTTTGTTTTTCCTTCTCAAAAGATCTACTTAGCCTCTGGCAAAACTTACTGATTTTCCTTCTACTTTAATAACTGAAATCTGAATTACCTTACTCGCATGACTAATAATTTAATATTAAATTTTTGGTTGTGCGAAAAAATTTAAATATGGAAACGTTCAAAGAATGTCATATTCGAGAATTAACAGCTATTAACCCTTTGTCATATTTGTTTCCGTTCTTTTTCTATATGCATTTTTCTATAATCATTGTTCCAAATCCACTTGAAAACTTAATTATAGAAATAATAAAAGCATATGTTCTCTTATTTTGCTTTATTAAAAAATAAAACACTGCAGAGAGTCACCGATTCTAACAGTAGGCACTCATCAGTTCTTATTTGTTATTGCTACCTCAGTCTTTGATACTTATTCTGTTTCTTCCTCAAGACTAATTACAAAATGGTGCACTCCATTTCGGAAAATATAGTCTTTATTAAGCATCCTTCGTGGCTAAAACTCAGTGAATTTCAATGAATTCCTGTTAGATAGTTCCAGTGCTTCAACCTATAATTTGAGATTTCTGAACAGAAGCTCCCCATGGCAGTTTTTGAAGTCATCTTCTTGACCCACAGGGCTTTAATTTGTGGTTGACAGGTTTTTTTTCCTAAACGTTAAAAGTACATTTATATATTTATTTATTTGGCTGCGTCAGGTCCTAGTTGCGGCATGCAGGATCTTTAGTTGCGGCTAGTGGGATCTAGTTCCCTGACCAGGGCTCGAACCCGGGCCCCCTGCATTGGGAGCGTGGAGTCTTAGCCACTGGACCACCAGGGGAGTCCTTGTGGTAGACAGTTTTAACCCAGACTTGATTAGCTAAGTAAATTATATGTTATATAGCCATTAAAAATCATGGTTTCAAAAATGTTTTAATGACATAAGAATGCACTTATGGTAAAATAAATGAAAAAGCACATGCAACTTCATATGCATTACAATTCCATTTTTGTGTGTTGTGTGTATGTATGTATGTAGGCATATAAGTGTATAAAAACAGCGTCAGTATAAAATGCTGTTGCAAAGTGATGATTTACAGGTAGTTTATTTTTTCTTTATAGTCTTATGTATATTTGCTACAGTCTCCACAATAAATACGTTTCCTTTTCATAATCAGAAATAGACAAGAAACAATTATTTAAAAAAAAATTTTAACACCAAATTCTTGTCTTTTCCAGGGAGGGTTAGCATTTAAAAATCTAATGACATTCTCCTTATGGTTTATGAACCACTCTAATCAGAGAATCCAACTATTTTAAACACTAGTAGTACTGAAGTGTAGAAGCAACTGTTAATTTCTTTAATAGCATTTGTTCTCATTCTGCACTCCTCCCCTCTCATTTTTGACATGTGTATGTGGTCTTTTGCTTGTCATAATGGATATTCTAATATTGGAGCCAATGCACTTACTTGCTTTAGTGCTCTGCTTTCATTCTAATTCATTCATTGTAGAAGCAATCTTAACATCCCAGTTTGTTGCTTATTCCTACTGAGATTCAGGCTTAGGCCATAGTAGTTTCATCTTTGATTTCCCCCGCCTTGAGGGGTTTGCCACCCCACCTCCCTTCACCTGGTGCTCTCCTGGCCAGGCATCAGGTAGGTTGCAACTTAAAAGTTACTTCCTCAGAGGACCTATCCCTGAAACCCCTTCGTCCTGTCAAAACCAACAGTTTCTATTATAATCTCTCATTGAACCTTTCATCTTTCCTTCATAGCTGTGCCATTTAGGATTAGGTTCAGCTGTGGATGACTGAAAACCCAAAATGAAAATGACTTAAACAAGGTAGAATTTTATCTGTCTCATGTGAAAGCTCTGTAGGTGTAATAAGGCTGGTGACAGTGGTTCCACAGTGCCAGGGAACCCAGGCTCCTCCTATTCTATTGCTCTGCCATTCTCAGCATGAAGCTTCCACATCATCGTCCAAAATAGCTGCTCCATCTGGTAAGAAGGGGGAAAGCAAGCCCTTTATTTTTAAGGATGTTTACTGGAAGTTGCATGCCTTGCTTCCAATTAGATCCCATTGGTCAGAACTTGGTCGCATGGCCCCAAGTAGGAGCAGGGAATGCTGGGAAGTATAGTCCATTCCAGGTGGCCATGGGCCAATAAAATTCAGTGAGCAAGTACTGAGTAAGAAGGGGGAAATAAATACTGGGGATAATTAGCAATTTCTACCACAATAGTTTATCACAATTTGTAATTACATATATATGATTATTATTTTTTAATATCTGTCTTCCTCACTAGACTGTTTCAAGAAGTCAGGGAACATACTTATTTACTTTATTCCAAGTATAGTATTTAGCATAAAATAATATTTAGCACAGAAAATCATTTGTACTTCTTAAAAGAATTATTTTATCTACCTGATCTTTTTCTCTACTTGTAGATATTTTTTAAACAGTGCATCTTGCTTTTTATACTTTTTAAACTTAAATATTATGAACATTATCATACATTTTTGTGTGTTCTTTAAGAACGTAATTCTTTTTTTTCCTTCAATTTTATTTAATTTAAGTAATTTATTTTTGCTGCACTGGGTCTTAGTTGTGGCACACGGGATCTTCATTGCGGCATGTGGGATCTTTTAGTTGCGGCATGCGGGCTCTTAGTTGCGGCATGCAAACTGTTAGTTGTGGCATGCATGTGGGATCTAGTTCCCCGACCAGGGATCGCACCCGGGCCCCCTGCATTGGGAGCGTGGAGTCTTAACCCCCTGGACCACCAGGGAAGTCCCAAGAACATAATTTTTAATAGTTTTAAATATTTAATAGTCTGGCTAGATCATAACTTATTTAACTATTCACACTATTGTTTGATGATAGAATGTTTTCAGTTTTCTGTTGTTTATAAATGTTGCTATGATAAATTCACCCTAAATATGTGAATCTGTTCTCTCTAATTGCCCCAGGATACATTCTCAGGTGTGAGATTATTGGGTGTATTGGTCAGCTATTGCCATAAC